CTAAGAAACATTACATTGAGATGGCATTACAGCAATGTGTGCTGATAGCTTCTGTAATACAATCTACCGTTGGTAACACCAAAGACTTTAGAAATCTATGTCATTCAATAACAAAAACAGCTGATAAAGTGGAAACATACTTGGCTTCTGATAGTCTCACTATCCAGTAATAAACTGCCCAGTCAATTATATTTTCATTGTCTGCTTATCTTTAATTTAGATTCAAACATTATCCAATGTTATTATCAACAGTCATTTATGTTTCAATAAACCTTCCTAGACAGCCAAATTAAAAGTTAAGGACATATTTTTTTCAATTCTTCTTTCTGTTGGGTTAATCCCCTGTCTAGTTCTTGCTGTAAATCATATAAGTGTAAATAAAGTGAATGATGTGTCACTCGAGAAATTTACTAAATGCTGCATTGGAAAGAGTTACACAAACAGCTCAAAAAGCAGAAATTACAGTAACTGTATGTGCATTGATTTACAACCAGGAAACCTGTCACCTACAGTTCAAAGGAGAAACAGTTAATATGTTTGTCCTGCAATTACAGCAATCCTGGAAAATCTGGAATATATTTATTTTCTTACTAAACTTTCCTTTTGTAGAAAGCACTTTCAATAAATGGTAAAATGCATTTTTCCAGCAGAAACAAGAACTGAAATGTATCAAGTCAGACAAAGGAAGTGATTCCTCAGTAGATTCACTAACTGATCAAACCTGTTCTGGACTTGCATCTTTGCTGATGGGCACTCAGCTTGCAGTAATTCAGTCTGCGCACCTCCATGGCCCAAGTCCAGGGCAAATTTTCCAAACCAGGCTTATCTATGCAAAAGACTCAGGATTCCAATTTTTCCATGTATAGATATGAATGTGCCAAAATAGAGATCCTAGAACCTAAACTACCTAGAACATAATTTGGCTAAGATTTGCCTGTTCTAACTATTGTTACCAGTCATCCATCCTACCGAGCTCAGTAGCCAGCTTACGCAAATTATAATAAAACATTGAATAAAAGGACAACCTCAAAAAATAATTTTGCATAAAAAGTGTAGGACAATTCTATATCATTGAACTAATTCTAAAACATCAACAGTTTGTGGCCTGCAACATGACTACATCAAGTCTGTTACATCTCATCCTCCGGGACTGGTACCTGCTTTGGAAATGCTTTTCTTCAGTCATGCGTTCTTTATAATTGGCCCCACTGATAATAATCACAAGTTTTGAAAACTCAAACAATGACCATAATACTATGATGGAGCACTACATTATATTTTGCATAAGCTACAATGAAATGATATAAATTGATACTAATGGTGTTTATGAGCTGAAAGTAACCATTTCTGACAAAGAGAGTGTATTTATTGTGGGAAAGGCACAATTAAGTTCTTTCAGATTGTTCTTCCACGCATAATTAAGATGGTGCCAGTGCTTCAAAACAAAACTTCACAAAACAAAACTTCACAAAACAAACTGTTACATTCAGATACAAGTTAAGTGATTCATCTTGTGAATGGTTTTAATAGCCTGTATAATTTATAACAACGTCTTCGAGGGCCTGACTCTTCTTCCCAATGAATTAATGCAAAGTCTGTTACTAAATTCAAGAGGCTGGTGTTCAGAGTCCAAGAATATGCAGAATTGCAAAAAAACACCATGTAAGGTATTAACATATAAACCTACTGAGCACAGTTACTCCCTTATGCATTTATATGTAAGCTGTGCTATTTGCACAAGAATACGAATAAAAACCAGTCACTACTTACATCAAGTTCTACTGCTCTAATAACACACATTTTTATGGAACTCTTTTTGTATTGGATACATCAAGAAGGCTGTTTCCAAAATAGGAGTTCAACATTTATGTAGGGTAAGTAGAGACTTTGTCTCTCCTTCAGGAAACGAGGGAAGAGAAAAAAAAAAAAAAAAAAAGAGTGGGATCTTTGGACCTTTAAAGACAAAAAGCACAGAACTTTCATATATGTTAGTCATGGTGGAGCATAGGAGAAAGACAAAAAGTATTTCTGAACTTAAAATAAGAATATCATACATAAAAATATTAACATATTCTTATTGGAAAACAGAACATGGAAAGCCAAAGATAAATCTTGTTTTTCTTCTTATATGTGAGCAGAATTCTCAGATAGTTTTTCCACTTTGATTCTTTAAAGAAATCCCAGAAAGTAACTGGAAACTCCAATTAGGAGTATTATTGTTAAAAGTGTTTAAAGGGATCCAGTCTTTGCATACTTTTAACCAGGAATTTATAGGAGTAGCTCCTGCTGTTTTCACTTAGAACACAGCACCTAAGTTACTGTCACATATGAAGGAAATGCGTCCACAGAGAAACTTTTGAAGCTCAACTTTTTCATGGCTAGCTCCCTATGGGTAAGTATTATCCTACATAAGTGATTTAAATAATCCTTTATCTAGTAGGATTTATGAGAAAAATAATATTGAACCACTTCTGCTATCTAAGTTACTTAACACATTTTAACCTTAATTTTAAATATTTCCAACAGAGATTAAAGAGTATTTCCTTGAATGGCACAGTTTTAAGTACCTGCTATTTTTATATACAGTATATATATTTGTTTATAAATAACTGTGTAACCAGAAGATTGCACTCAGAAAATTACAATATGATGTTTCAATATGTTTGCAGCATGAAGTCTAACTGGAAGGAGTGCTGTAGCTTTCCATGCAGCAGTATGTAGCAGATGCTTCCAATTTCTTATTTTCTTTTTGCTTTTAAGAATGTGTTCACACGACCATTCTTCGAATTCCACACTCACAGCAAAACTTTGCCCATTCCACCGGATACTTTGTTCCACATTCATGGCAGAACTTTGATAACTGTACAGGTGAATTTCCTTCGCTGCTTTTTGAACTTCCTCCATTGACTGAGGATGGGTAGTCTCCACTGTCATACGACCTGAAAATCCCCAGATAAAGAACATTCTCTGTAACTCAGTTCAGTATAACTTGATGCAAAATTATTTTAATCCTTGCAGTGAATTACTGTAGTTGTTACTGTCATTTTCATGCTTACACTTTGTATTTATTTACAGTAGTATACCTTGTATTTCTACCCATACTCCCCTGCTTATCTCAAGATACCCTCCTTGCCTGCAAGAAAACAAAAAAATGCTGAAATTTCAGATGCAGGATCAAATATTCGATTCACTAGTTAGATTAACTGCAGTGTTTGAAAACTTAAAACTTGGCTTGTTAAAACAAGAAAGCCTAAAACAGCAATACATTTTTTTTCTCCTACCCTTTAAAGGGCAGACACCAGACAATTTCTTTGCAACTTTCAAGTTCAACTGAACCACTCGACTTCCCATTTGAAACTTATTTTTTCACTTATTTTTTCAGCAGCTCCTAAGAGGTTTTTGACATTTCTAACATTGTCTTCTGTGCACATCTGAGAGCTGATGACAAATGTTCTGTTTGATGATAAATATGCAAAATACATTGAGTATCTTGAACATGTCAAATAATACTGACCATGAGTTATCTACTAAATACACAGAACAATATTTTCCCTGACTTCTTTTGTAATAAGTACTCCCCTTTAATGAAGATTCTATTGCTGACAAAATCCACAAAGTTAAAAGCTACCTTGAGTAGCTGTCTGAATTGCTAGTTTTTCTTTTGTTCGTTAGAGCACCCGTGCTCATGGTTCTTGCCACACTAGGCGGGGTTGATGTCCGCGTTTTTGTTGTGCCTCTAAAACAGAATAAACATCTGATGAATTATAAACACACAGAAATATATACAAGAATATGCATTTACAAATGATATAAAAATACTTCAACAACCTACACATCAATTAATTGTATGAAAAATATCACTTTCCTACTAAGAGCAGACAGAAGAGCTTTGGCACGAACTTGCTTGCTTTGGACTGAATATGACTTGAATCTTACAGTGACAAGCTAAACAGAACCATGATTTCCTTTCCTGTTCATGTGTATCACTTGCTGTCACACCACCATACGGGTACATCCTGCACTACTGGTTGTTTGGTATGTTCTAATGCCTACCTTGACAGACAGGTCACTTTTTAGGACTAGAAAAGCTTTCAGATAAATAGAGAGCAGCTGACCATTATAATAGTTTTAAAAAAAACGTAGAAAGGATACCATATTCTCAATACTTTGTGACCAATATGAAGTGAGTCACAAGACTTTTTTCTTCATAGTCACAGATTTTGTTTAGGATGCATACTTCTCAGATGGTGCTATAGATCCTTTCTTCAAAGCATAAATACTGTATTTATAAATCTAAATAGAAAAAGGAGTGGAAGGCAAGTCTATCCAGCCAGGCATTAAGGCCTAATTTTTTTGTAGCCTGTCACAGCATTCTTAAAGTTGGCTTCAGTAGTATGATCACATAGCAGTGTGAAAGCTGCTTTCCTCAAGACTCACAAGTTTTACAAGAAGCCAGTATGCAATGAATAGCACATCCTAAACATGCAGAACATCTCACTGCTTGCTTTGATGAGCAGAGAAACATCAGAATCCCCTGACAAATTTGAGTAGCACTAAGAAGAAGAGATAGGAAGGGGCATCCTCGTATCATCAGTGACTAAGGACAGAATTTTTTGGCACTGCTCAAAAGAATTACCATTTACCGAGATTTCTTCTTTGGCAAGGCTTCAGTAATTATGACATCTTAAACATGACCCAGCAAGTTTTTCTGTTCTCATTCTTGAACATCGATGCCTAAATGAAATTTAAGTTGGGACTGGCTCATGGACATAAAAAAAAAGTAAAACAAGACTCCATTTAAAAAATTACTGAGCAACTGACATCATCTACCTGGACTCGTCCAAGGCATTTGATACTGTCCCACACAACATCCTTGTCTCTAAACTGGAAAGACATGGTTTTGATGGATGGACCACACAGTGGATAACAAATTGACTGGATGGTCGGACTCAAAGAGTTGTGGTCAACGGTTCAACGTCCAAGTGGAGGCCTGTGACGAGTGGTGTTCCTCAGGGGTCAGTATTGGGGCCAGTGCTATTTAACACCTTTGTTGGAGACATGGACAGTGGGATCGAGTGCACCCTCAGCAAGTTTGCAGATGACACCAAGTTGTGTGGTGTTGTGGACACGCTGGAGGGAAGGGATGCCATCCAGAGAGACCTTGACAGGCTGGAGAGGTGGGCCTGTGAGAACCTGATGAAGTTCAACAAGGCCAAGTGCAAGGTCCTGCACATGGGTCGGGGCAATGTCAAGTGTAAGTACAGGCTGGGTGGAGAATGGATTGAGAGCAGCCCTGAGGAAAAGGACTTGGGAGTGCTGGTGGATGAGAAGCTCAACATGAGCTGGCAATGTGCGCTGGCAGCCCAGAAAGCCAACCGTATCCTGGGCTGCATCCAAAGAAGCGTGGCCAGCAGATTGAGGGAGGTGATTTTGCTCCTCTACTCTGCTCTCATGAGACCCCACCTGGAATACTGCGTTCAACTCTGGAGTCCACAACACAAGAAGGACATGGAGCTGCTGAAGCGGGTCCAGAGGAGGGCCACGAAGATGATCGAAGGGCTGGAGCACCTCTGCTATGAAGACAGGCTGAGAGAGTTGCGGCTGTTCAGCCTGGAGAAGAGAGTGCTCCAGGGAGACCTTCTAGCAGGCTTCCAGTATCTAAAGGGGGTCCACATGGAAGCTGGAGAGGGACTTTTTACAAGAGCATATAGTGATAGGACAAGGGGCAATGGCTTTAAACTGAAAGAGGATAGATTTTGATTAGATCTAAGGAAAAAAAAAATTTTTACAATGAGGGTGGTGAAACACTGGAATGGGTTGCCCAGAGAAATTGTGGATGCCCCATCCCTGGAGGTGCTCAAGGCCAGGTTGGATGAGGCTCTGAACAACGTGGTCTAGTGGAAGGTGTCCCTGCCCATGGCAGGGGGGTTGGAACTACAGGATCTTTAAGGCCCTTTCCGACCCAAACCATTCTATGATTCTATGATCAAAGATTCTGGCTCACTGGGCAGAACACCAACCTTCTCCGTTAGTTTTCCTGTCTGCCCTCTTATTTAGCAAGGAGATTCTAATGATGGTTTTATTTAAAAACATACTGTGCAGACTGAAAAGCACTATGTAAGTTATACCAAAATTAAAACCTATTAAAAGTTATGGCAGTCTTTCAAAAGTTAGAACATTAGTCCTGGAATTATCCAAGCGTAACCTAGATTACACTGTTACGAGTATGCACAACAGTCCAGATGCTAAATACTCTATCTTGTGTTATTGCCTCCATCTTGTTTGACACTGAAGAGAGATCTTTCCTTATGATCGAGTAAAATTCATTAGAGCTCAGCAGATGAAAAAACATACTGGACTGTTACTTCACTTGTTAAGGAAGCTAGAAAAGCATATAAAGAAAAATTCAGCTGTAGACACAGAAACAGTATATATCATCATGGATCAGAGATGATCAGACAATGATGCAAGGAACAGAACTGTGTCTCAATTCACGTTTAGACAACTCCAAGTAACGTAAAACAAATTTTTCAAAAGTCTCACTGACTTGGTTTTCTCTGGACTTTCAACTTGAGACCAACACACTACTTTTTCAAATCTAATTGCATTAATTTCTTAAACTAGTCTCTTCAGGGTGTACTTTGAATCAATCATTTTTAAAAATAAAATATTAGGAATCCTAGATATTTGAAAGAAATTAACATGAAAAATTGTCCACTATTCTTTCCTGTATTTCAACTGTTCACTTCTCTAAAATATGTATAATATACCCTCATCCCAATAGGTACTCTGAAAATTCACCTGACGCTTTAACACTAGGTGTACACTAGAGAAGTTTCCCAGAAATCAGTGTCTTAAAACCATGATTTGTATGGTGTCTAGTACAGCACACAGGCCACTGACTGAACCAGGAAAAAAAAAGAAAAATCAAAATACTGAAAAGCCACATTGAAAGCACACTGCACACCCCGTCTATTGAGAGTCCCATGAACAGATAAAACTTCAATAAGGCTTTAACAGGACATCTTAATTCTGAAGCCTTTAAACATAACTTTCTGCATAATTTCTGTAGATTTTTTTCCCAATTAGTTTTCTAAAAATACAGAAAAATGGAAACCTATTTTCAGACTTGAAACTTATGAGTCTTATAATTAATTGCAATGGTTTCTGCCGTTTTAATGAGTAAATAAACAAAAGTAGCAGGCTGCCACTGTTTACAACTTTATTCATCCTATATCTAGCATCAGGTTTTATGTATATTTGATGACAAATTTTGAAATTGCATTCTTAAGTTGCAATCTGACCGCCACAGACAGATGTCTTCCAACTAATATTCTTGATTATCTCAATTTTTGTCATCACAGCTTGGTCTCTTCTGATCTGTCCAACCTCTGCCACTTCTATCTACTTGTCCAGTTCTGTTGGTTTTTTTCCATTTGGTTGGATTTTTTTGTTCTGTTTTTGTATATAAATCCCTGTTCTAAGTTGTATCACGTGAAGTATTAATGGAGCCTGACAGCAGATGAGGCTGTGTACCAATGTCACCTTGAACTCTTAAAATCTGGAATACCTTTAGAGACATTTACTATCCATTCTCAATTTCAAAAGAAGTAAAATTGAAGAGGAACTCCTTTCCTAAAGCAGCTTATGTTGTATATCTATTTGAACTACCACTGCTTGCAAAATGAAAGAAATCTGTAAAAGCAGCTTGACTTTTTCTATTTACACATTCACAATTTGGTTGGATTTTGCTATAAAATACTGAAGTATCAAGCTTGCTTCCTAGACAGGGCGTTTTCCGATATTCTGGACAGCTATCACTGTCACCCACAACAGCTCATAGTTCTGTGCAAAATCATAAACAAGTTCCTTATGACTAATGGCGTGCATACCAAAGTCCAGAAACCTTTGCCATAAACTGTACCCATCCACATCACTGTGCTGAACTTAACAATGCCTAGTAGCTATTAAAATTTGTCCAGTGCTCTTGACACATAACATATTGAATAACCTTCTGCAAGGAAAGCAGATTTAATTCACAAACTCAGCGGATGTTTGAATAAGAACAAGAGTGATGTTATGAAGAGCAGAGTAAGTGTCTATACTCTTAAAGAAGGTCTCTCAAGAAGAAAAAAATCACATCATTGCTCTATGGATAAGGGCTATTGTAAACACATTTAGTAACTCACTAAGGCAAATTTTCAACATCTTACTAATATATTATAAAATGAAAAACTGACCTAATTTTTCATGGTTCACAGGATTTATAGCTCTAACCAAACATGCAAAGGAACTACAACAAAAAGTAATTCTGTTTGTCTGAAAAGACCTTCCTCCTCCCCTTCACTCCTTTTGCTTCTTCAAATAGAAACCCAAGTTCAAATATTCTGGCCCTCTCTCGAAGATACTTCAGCTTTGGTTACAATACTAAAACAGCATTAAGAGATTTAGACGCATTTCTACTATTTAAAGCATTACATTCCATGTATGTGCCATATAATTCATTACTAATTTCTTTTCTGCAATATGCTTTAAGGTATTATTTATGAAGATTCAGTCCATTTGAATTTGGCATCTTCCAAATTATATCAAAGGGTTAACTACAATATAGTACCTATTCCCTTTTTAAAAGATTGGAATACCCTTTCTTCCAAATTTAGATCTTAAACTTGCTGAATATTCAGAAGTCTTTAAATGAGATAAGTTGGACTTAAAAAAAGACTTTATCTCTCATTACAAAATCTGCCTTGCTTACATTGTTGGACCTCGAAAGCCATCTTACAGAGATAGGTAAATACTTGACTTTAAGAGAAAAAAAAAATCGTCATAGAACATTTGCCAGTAAGGGAGATATTTGTACAGTTATCAGGCTTAAATCCTTACTTCAGCTTTACATCATGCAAATTCAGTTTTACAAAGATAAAAGATCATTACTTTTAGTTCATAACCAGTCAGTGACAGAAGACATAAAATCTGAGAAAAATCTTCACTTTTCTTGTCCTACTATGAAGCTGTTTACCTAGCACGAAACAGATACTTATACTAATTATATTATATACTCTTCTCCCATAGCATTTATATTGAAGACATACTGGGCAACAGATATCTGTCAAGGTCATACTTTTACCATTTCAATGCTTTGGAGGAACATTTCTGCAAAACAGATAAACCACGCTGATTTGTAATACTTACTTCTTTACAGGCAACAACTCATTTGGTCTTTTGATGGTACTGTCTGTTTTTGTATCAGTGTCATAAAACCTTTGCACATCTCTTCCAGTTCGCAGTGGTGGGCCTAACTTGTCCATCTTACTACTAAAATATATAAAGGGGTACTCATAAGGAGATTGCTAGATTGCTATTTAAGTTATCGCAAAAAAAAAAAATTGAAGTACTCACAATTAAATACTTATATTCCCAAAGAATTCCCATCAACTAAAGAAATAAATGTACCAATCAGACTTTAATAATCCAGAAAACAAAAGGATTCTTACTTTAAAGAGGAGAGGATTTCATAGACTTATAGTCGCATTAGGTTTCCGGTGCATTATTTTTAAAATTCTTTTTTAAATAAACCAAAAAACCTAATGCCAGTTATTCTCAAAATCTGCACAATGCTCTCACGTTTGGTCTTTCTTTTTCTAAGAATAGTTTTCATAATGTCAAACTTATCACATCTAGAAAAGGGGGCTCATAATTACGAGTCATAGCAACTCTATTAAAATGCTAGAAAATAACAGAGATGTAAGTACAAGCCACCTTAACTTTAGAATTAGCAAGAAGGACAATTTTTCCTTTTTCACTTTTTTTTTTTTTAATAAGGGCTGAACATTGTGCCCAGAGAGAATAACACGCCTTCCATCCTCTTTTCTTTTATGGAGATGAGAAAAGAACAGAGAAAGGCCTGAAAGAAATCCAACTTTGTTTTAGTATCAAAAACCCCACTCACAACAGACAGTACTATACACACAGGTAATTTAATACTTTTTTACTATTACGGATAACATCTCCAAACTAAAAAGAATAAACAAAGAAAATAAATAGAACATTAATTAAATAAAATAACTCATCAAAATAAAACACACCACCATCTCTCCCTCCCACACGTCATCATAGGGAGAATTATAGCTTTTGAGAAATCACAACTTCTATTAGAAAAATTAGGTCTTCAAGTGAAGTCCTGCATTTTTATCATCTTAAACCATTCAGTAAATCCTGCAAAAAGCCCACTATATCTCCACACCTACCTCAATAATGTAACAGAAGTCTCTTCTTATTCTCAAAAAAAAGCCTAGTAACTTAAGCCTTAACTGGAAAATGATGACAGAGTATTTTTACTGATCTTTCTGAAATGAAAGAACTAGAAACAAACCAAGCAAGATTGATGGAAATGTCTGGGTAGCTGAAGCTTAGTTCTTCTTTAGCCTTCCCATCCCTAAAGGAATGTCACAAGCTAAAACCAAACAAGTAAAACCAACAAAACACACCCTCACACAGACAAATAATTTCTTACTGTGCAGTTTTCTGATTCTTATCATACAACTTTAATAAACTACACTGCCAGGAAGATAACTGAACAGCTAATTGCTGTCAAGAAAGTATATTATTTTCAATATAGCTTTTAATGTATTAAAAAAAAAGGCTTTTCTGTATCTCTAACACCCATATCATACTACTTTTCATACTCCTTCTACAATAACTTCATATTAACAGGCACAGAACCTATGAAGCTGGCAACACAATTTGTTTTTTGGGAAGCTTCCGATGCGAACCTTCAAAGCAAATCTCCCCATACAGAACAAAAAATGAACAATGCTAAATGATATTCATTCATTAAAAAGTCAGCAGGGAGCACTGAGATTTTAGTCTTGACAATTTAGCCACAAATAATACAGGCTGTAAGATAAGTTCTCCTAGAGTTCCTTTTCCCATTCCTCCTCCCAAACAGATGTTCTCGTTCAAACTAATCATCGCAGGAAATGCTTAATCAATTCCTGTTTGACCAAATACATACTCTTTACATATTTCCCAAGGACTGAGAAGCAAGACTGAGGTCTTTGACACTGCAAGACACGTACTCCAACCTATCATGATTTTCTTAGCTGTTTTCTGACCCTTTAACCATTTATCAACATAATCTGTGAACTCCAGGCACATACAGAGCACAATACCAAAGACAATGGCCTAGGAGAAGTCACGATACTGTCAAAATAAAGAACTACAGTATTCTTCCACACTTAAAAAAAAAACAAAACTAAAAAACCCAAAGCTGACAGTCATTTTGTGTACTAATGAAAAAAAGCACAATCATAAGAATCTTCTGAAATGCAAAGACCACCAAGACAACTTCTTGTTTACCTTGATTTTATTGAACAAAACTGTGTAAGTTATAGTCTTAATGAAAGAACCAAGCTATCGTAAAAATATAATGTTTTCAAAGGCTATACATGCTGCATGGCAAATATATAAGTGAAATTTAAAATTTATGGATACTGGTGAGGTGTGCCATTCGTATTGCATTTTGGCTATATGACAGCAGTGGATGTGTTGCTAACAGACATTATTCCCAGGAGACATAACTTTGATCAGCTTAACATTACATAGTATTTTTTATCTCCAAAATAAAATAAAAATGGTAAGTAATTTCTAAGGGTTCATTTGTCATACTGAAAAACATCACATAATTTTCCAAGTCCCATTAAATAAAGTTCATAAATGACACATGCATAGATAGTTAATCTGTACATGCAAAAGACCTCTGGCTGGCCACAAAAAGTGGTGTCAAGTTCTGCTAGGCAAAACAATTTGCATGTGGGGCTGGAGTCTGCCAGTTTCCTTAGGCTTAGGATAGGAAGAACCTATTCATTTTTTTCTCCTCAGGATCTGATTATGTCTGACAGCTTACTAGAACTGCCCTACCCCTCAAGAAATGTAAGGTAGTGCTAAACTCTGTACTCTTACAAAATACGTATCAAACTTAGGATCTTGACACGATTCACTATCAAAATATAAGCCTAACTACAATTTCTGTAGAATTAATTTTCCTTTTCCTTGTTCTTCAACACCAAAAAAAATGAAATCCTGTTTTCATGCTAGTGAACAAAGCTTTTCCTACTGACTACTACACAGAGTCACACTCTACTCTTGCACTCTCACTTGCTTTAGAGCTCAGAAATTATGCCCTTTCGCTGCACTTCCACTAACACTTTTAACTGGCTGTGCTCTTACTCCATGCAGGTAGAAAAAGAAAACTCTCACAGCAGAGATCAGCTGACATATCTTGATCTACGTGTACAAAGTAAGTGTCACTAACAGTAACCTAGCTTACGCTGATGATGCTTTGGTGTGCTCTCTCAGAAGTCCTTCACTTGGGGAGCAGAAGAGGAGAATTCAAACTAAAAAAAAGAAATAGTATAGCAAAAATGGCTTAAAAAAAGGGAGTTCATAAAATCTGGTTGCATTTCTACTCATACAAGATAAAAATTTATGTTGTGATATTGAAGTTGAATTTCACATGAAATGAAGTTCAAGAATCTTTCCTTTACAGAACTAAAGACTTTAGAGATGCAGTTCGTTCTAACCCTCACCTTCGACGCAAACGCAGCAACCAGCTTCATGTGCCTGTCGCAATAGTTTTAGGTAGCAGTTCAAGAGTGCCACCTAAAGAGCAAGAGGGAAACGGCACGCCTGTATCTGTTAAATCACTTCTGGCTGTTAGACTAGCCAGCAGATAGTAGTTTCTTCCCTCTTCGTATATCCATCATAGAGAACAGGTACCATGATTCTACAGAAAGAAGCAATGTCTGATTAAATTTCCCCCCTCCAATATTCATATAATTCATCCTTGATATTGCACAATATAATTGCAATTCTACCATTAAGTCTCACTACCTCTCTGCCAAATCTAGAATTACAACAATCTCAGCAAAAATGGAAGGTTTCACTCAATATGTAAAAAACCCTAAAAATTACAGTTTGCCTTAAGGGAAACTGCAGGAGATTGTTTCTTACAGTAAAAATTGGAATTTGGCGTGGTCAAAAAGTGTGTAGATTCTTAAAAATTTGCCAGGGGAAAAAAATAAAAAAAATCACATAATCTCTTAACATTCCATTTGAAAGATTGCCCTTAAAACAATGCATGTGCAACACTGTTCAGTAAGTCTGTTCCCTAACAACTCAGAAGGAAGACCATGACCTCTGCCTGACTTGGGTACAACAGAATCCCAGACCTCATGCTATGGCTTGTCATTTTACTAGTTAAATCGTAAATGTAGCAAAAGAAATACATCTTGTTTCATCCTAATAAAAGTTATTTTAATAGCATTTTAAAAGTGTTTTTATTTTATAAAATAATTCTAGCTGTAATTAGCTATAGCCTAAATTATAAGATGTTTTAATGTTTAAAATCTGTGTCACTGCAGTATTAGCTATTCTTACTCTCTGACTTAGGATGCTGTGTGTCAGTTGCTCAGAAAAGAACACACTGCTAGTGTGTCAGCCCCTGCTCTGATATAATTTTGTAGGTATTTCAACAGAACCCTACATATTTCCCTCTCACACCCCAATACTAACACTGAGATTATTAAGGCCAAAATTGTCACTAGCGACTAACATGAGGTACCTAACTCTTCCATGTTGTAACTGCTCCTACACCTCTTTGCTTAAATGTAACTCCTGACAAACTTGTTCTCAGAAGCGAATGTGAAAGTAGCCAAAAGGAAAAGAAAGCACTGCTAGGTCTCAGGTAGAATGCTTCAGAAAGAGATGTTTAACAGCCATCTGTGAGGAGACTGGTTATTATGACCGGAGAGAAATCATAAGGACTGGCTGGCAAAGACAAGAAGAAAACACAGAAGGGAGAAGGACTGCAGACAGAAATACATTCATCACATGCATACTCTTAAAAACTCGAAACGGTATAGGCAATTAAGTGAGGTTACAAGCCAAGCCAACATAAACTGCCTCTCAGCAGAGACCATGATCTGGGAGCTGTGCCAACCAGAAGTCATCTATTTGTAGTTAATAGCATGTGTGAACAGAGAGAACCTGCGCAAACTTCTCTCCATATATTAACTGCTATTTGGCTCGGTCACGTCACGATTCTTCCTCCAAGGTTCAGAAGAAGAAACGGAAGACGACAGAATACAAAGTAGTAAGTTCAGTGAGCAACTGACTGGCAAAATTAAATAGAACTTCCTTGTTAAGAAGCGAAGACCAAAACCTGCACCCCTCACAAACCAATACAGACTGTGATTACAAAACCTATCATCAGGAAAAAGCCTTTCCCAGACAGCCAGGATTCACCACCGAGGTCAGAAACAGGCCTTCAAATTATCTCAGCTGACTTTTCCCTGTAGTTTGCAGACCTACTTGCTTGCCACTCATCAGTAGGTGTTAATTCAACTTCTGAAAATGGAGAAATGTGATATAAAACTCAGTCAGTGAATAGCAGAGGCTGGGATTTTTCTGACAAAGCGTAGATACCTACAAGCAGTAGTGAGGCTGGCCTACCGAAGGTACCTGCCTAGACCAAAGACTACTAGGACACCTTGGGGTGGGTGGGGAGGGCAGGACAGGGAAACAATTGAAAAAAAAAATGTTTCTGACAACCTCACAGACTCTACCTCTAGTCTGTGTCTGAGAGACTTAGTATGAGTGAGTAGAGCAAGGAGGGGGAGAACTGCATCCTCAAGCTACATGCTGTAAGGAGGGAGGTGTCATGGAGCTGTAATTCATGCTTCTCTATAACTTGTAAGACTTAAGAGCGATAAATTAAAAACCACTAGTTTTGTGTAATTAATAAAGCTGTCCATCCCCATGAGTACTTTCAGAATGTCCTTTTTCTTCCTCACAAGCTTAAGCTGTTGTTTTTCTCCACCTTACATAGCCTTCACCAATCTGATACTCATTTTCATTGGAATAAGTCTTCTTCAATCACCAGTGTTGTAACTGTAATCACTTTGTTGTATTTTTTATATTTTCTCTCAGTGCTCCTTGGTGCTCCTCAAACTTCTGTAAAATTGCACTACTTCTCTTCAATCCCTTCCATACATTTCTTCTTTGAGACAGTGTGTGTTGACTACCCCCCCCAGCAAAATATCAGTACCAGCCTTGATCACAGCAGCACTTTCACTGAACTCTGGTAATCTACATCTACCACTTCTTGTTACTGTTGTGGAGCACTGGTTTCCATTGCCTTATTTGTGCTCATTCATTTGTTGTCTCTTCAGTATTTTAAGACAGGAAAGGGAGGAGGGAAAGCATCCATCTTTTTGTGCTACAAGGAAAGATCCTGTCACAATTGGTTTGTGGTCTGTGGCAGAGTTTTCTTTCTTTAATTTCCGTGAACTGCTGGAAATCATGCCTAATGCTTTCTTCTTTAAGTCTCTTCACTTTTACAAAGAGAAAAAATTATAGCTCCAACCACTTCTGCAAATTCTGTATAGTTTTTAATCTACTTTATCACTTGACCTCCTTCGCTGTTATTTTAACATTGGAGTAGGCAAAGATGCATTTTCCAATGTTCCTTAAACACCGTGTTTATAAACAAAGGATAAATTCAAAACACTGCACTTCTGAAGCTTACAGGGGAAAAAAAAATTCAAGTGAAACAGACTACAGAGACTTCTAGAACTAGTACAACATAAATATGAAATAAAGCATAAATGACAACATTAAACAGAAACTCACCCTGCTTGTGGGTTCACCATTCCCAACGAGTTTTTATGAGCTGGTGATAATGTCTGAATTTTGCTCCCACTGGATCCAGACGAAGGTAATGCTTTACTTGAAGAGGCACCTTGAAGTTGAAAGCAAGCATGGAAATATAAGAAAATGTAAGATTTTGCTGCTGGAATGACACAATTCATTATACATTTTTTAATTGTAAAATTCAAAACAAGAGTTTTAGAAATATCAAGATATGAACAAGTGTTAAGATATTAGGAAAAAGCAAGTATGTTTCCAGAAATTTACAGAAAATATGCTATTGAGACATAATTTTCTTTTCTAATAAAAAAATTGGATTTCAATTACTTTCTTCAGAAAGAAAAAGGAAAGAAGTCTAGAAGGTCGAAGTAAGTACAAACATGTTTGATGTCTGAAATCAGATTAAGACCAGTGTTTGCATTATTATAATATATATGGCTTGACTATGTATTTTCACCAATTTGTGATCATATTTGGCATACAAATTCCAGAGTTCAGCAATGGAAAAATCTGAGGTGAGAGATCAGTATCAGATACAATGAGGCATTACTACACAGAATGATTTTGCAGGTTCAGAAAAAAACTGTTTTAACCCAATACATAAACCAGAGAATCCTATGTGCTCTAGAGTCTTGCTGGATAGATGCCCATCAGTGCCTCTTCCAAATTAACCTCAAATGAGTTTTTACAAACCACTATATCAATTTCAACAATAAACTATAGCCAGCATATGTGTATGTCAAAAAAGCAGGTCACGAAAATATTGATAAAAAAAATTTATTATGAAACAGACACCATCTTATCCACTCATGTACTCCTGAAATCCTCCTATGATTTTTTTTCACTTTGTCAGTTTAAATCACTGCATAATGCTGTAGAAATCCTTCAATCCATTAAAATGATACTACTTTTACTGTATAGTTTGAGAACTAATATTTAGAATGGAAATGGCAAATTCGTAACATTCAGTTCATACCTACAACAGTTTTGCTAACACCACTTGGCTGTGGTAAGCGTGATGATGACGATGGTGTTGATCCTACAGAAGGCATCTTCTTAACTGCAGCAGGTTTATACTGTAACAAAATACAACCTAGAAATTTAAGCAATTAAATCGAACTATCTCTATAACACAATAGTTACCTCAGGTACTGTGAGAAAACAGACTATGACTACCTACTAGGCAAACTGTTTCTGGTTTGGGATCCAGCAAACGGTTTCCGCTAGTCTGCTTTCTTATACACACAGATGATACTAGTAGGAAAGATATCTAACTTTACTCAGCGGTTTTGTTTTTTTGTTTAACTTCACATCTCCCTGTATTTTTCGCCTTTCTGCAGCTTTTCTCATCTTTTTCCATAGCTGTCTCATGCAATTAACATTATCACCTCACTACCAGTGAATTTTAAAAAGAATACTCAAGGACAGGATCATTTTTGTCCTTCAAATCTTATTTTCACCTGTGTGCTCTGGATCAGCCCCAGAACTGATTCAGAATACAGTGCAAGAATCCCTAAGTAACTACTTCTGTCTGGAAGCTGTGAAGAGTTAAACAGAAGAGCATTACCATTAAAAGAAAACACACATACACTTTAATCCTTCATTTGTTTTGTGGTAAGTTAACTACTGCAGCTCTTACATTAATACATCTGAATTTCTCTAAGCCTCTAATTAGCCAAAACATTGCTGTCATTGTCCTGCAGTCATCTACTTTTGTTTGTTCACTTAAAGAACAGTCTTGAATTGGATTCAGAAGACTTGCACAATAGAAATTCAACTTTCTTAACAAATACTGCATAGTTACTTCCTGCTGCTATCCTCACCTGTCATTTTCACAAATCTCTGAATTACATTTATGACTAGTTTTGGCTTTGCAACTGCTGCCATCTGATTTATGGATCTCTGCGACTCTCGTAAGAAAGCAAAAACCTTTTCCATGCTCAGTGTCTAGTGTCAGTCTAGCAAAAATAATAACATCACAGAATAAAACAGTTAATTCTGTTTAAGAGCAAAACACTATTTAACAAGCTTGATTTGATGTCAAATGCAAATTACAAGTTAAGAAAACCGCTGTAGTTCACCTGTGTTCGAGTAGGAAGCTTCCCTTTGGTATCAGCTGCCAATTTCCCCTTATTAGTAATACGTGCTGCTTGTTCCTTACAGAAATTGATGTGTCTGTCAGCTGCGTTTTCATTAAATCTCCTCTGACAATATGGACACTGAATGTAATCTTAAAAACATAAAAAGCTAACATTAATAACATATTTTAAAAAATTGAGTGTTTTAAAGTCTTTTAAAGATCAGCCCCAATCCCACCCCCCAAAGAAAATTAAGGCCTCTTGAATCTGAAAATAAAATACAGATCGCTAGGTAAAAGAATATTGTCCACATGTAACACCAAAAATGTTTCTTTTTTGATAGATAAGAACAAGAAGAGTGGTTGATGATCAGAAATAAGCTAAGCGAAACCAGAAATACTCCGAGAGATGCTATTCAGCAGAGAAGGTGGTCAAAGAGGAATATGGACATGGCAGGGGTATAAGCTGGAAGGAAGTGGAGAAGAGGCTAAACAACAAAAAAAAGTAAGGTAATAAAAATCACAAACATAGTTAATTTTAAGACATAAAACCTTTCCCATACAAATAGCAAAAGAAAACAAAATCTGTTTCCTCTGGCAATTTTGAAAGGACTGAGAAATACTAACTGCAATACTGGAAATTATTATTAAAAAAAAACCAAAACAGAAATTTAATAATCACCACTCCCCCCCAGTCAGAGGAAATCCAGCCAAAATTAGGAGATATACATAGAGACATGCAAAACAGGGTAATAGGTGGCTGTATGATGTTTGAAGATTAGTCATGTTACAAACTGTACTACTTGCAGGAAACAGGAAATATTACTACTAATATTGAGGAAAAAAAACAGAAAGGCTATGTAAATGTTTAAAACACTAAAAGATCCCTCATCTTATGCTGTATACTTAAAATACACTGGCCTTGGAAAGTAAAACGTTTGGACTGCAGTTTCAGATATACATTTAGTGTCTAGAGATAGCTCTGGAGTCCCCAACATAAGAAGGACATGGAGCTACTGGAACGAGTCCAGAAGAGGGCCACAAAGATGATCAGAGGGTTGGAGCACCTCTGCTATGAAGACAGGCTGAGAGAGTTGGGACTGTTCAGCCTGGAGAAGAGAAGGCTCCGGGGTGATCTTATAGCAGCTTTCCAGTACCTAAAGGGGACCTACAGGAAAGCTGGAGAGGGACTTTTTACAAAGGTGTGTAGTGATAGGACAAGGGGTAATGGATTTAAACCGAAAGAGGGCAGATTTAGATTAGATATAAGAAAGAAATTCTTTACATTGAGGGTGGTGAGGTACTGGAACAGGTTGCCCAGAGAAGTTGTGGATGCCCCATCCCTGGAGGTGTTCAAGGTCAGGTTGGATGAGGCTTTGGGCAATCTTGTGTAGTGGAGGGTTTCTCTGCCCATGGCAGTGGGGTTGGAACTAGACGATCTTTGAGGTTCCTTCCAACCCTAACCATTCTATGATTCTATGATTCTATATAGATGCTGAATTCCACGGATTACAGCATTCAAAATCATGGAAACACCAGCTTCAGAAGATCTGGACACTAGCAAAGCAGGTTAAATTAGTATGTTCCTAGGAGATTTTAGAAATGTATTGAAGAACATGAGGAGAGATTCAACAGTCACTGCCTCCAAGATTACAGTTAGATATTATCCAATCCAAAATAAGGATTTGGATTAGATATTACAGTTCAAATGCAGCAGATTTGCAGTAGTTATCCCTTTAAATTAACAAACAATTTTGAGTAAGTCAAATGATGTAGTGGGCACCAAACCACGAACTGTGACCGAAGAAGTGTGAGCAAAGGACACAGGAAGAACACAATAAACCTTCAGAGAAGTGACAGGACGGGAATCTCACACAATAACAACAATGAATGTTTATTTATTTATTTTACCTAAACTCCACTACTGTCAGAATACTCAAACATAAACTATACCTTAAGAGACAGAAACTCCGAAGAAAAAGAACTATAACATCTATACAGTCAAACCAAGATAGGCCCAAGGAACGTTTTTTTTTAAAAAAAAAAGATTAAACAAAGCTAAATAGATTAATAAAGCAGCTACGGAAGCCCCTAGATAATAAGAAAAGACATTTCTAGCTGGGGCACAGCTTAGTTCCCACAGAAAACTTTCAAAGCCCACTCAAGTAAATGGATCAGGACTGTAGAGGATTTATGAACACTCTTTTTAAGAATCAGTGATTGTATCTTCATCCTTTTGTAAAATGCTTAGCAGCAGTCAGCCACCGGACTATTCGGAAGTACTGTTTGTACTGTCTAGAAGAACTGTTGGGATTCAATGTGAGCTTTATAAAACACAAACTAATGAAAATAAGTGGGCAGTACACATATGCAGTTAAGTTCAATGCAAATGTGCTGACTTAAGGTCCTCCTTAATATCATGAGGCTATTCCGCACTTCTTCTTAGGAAAAGGTGGAACAAGAGATTGAAGAACCAGCAACACTGTTTGTTTGCAAACTCAAAGCATGCAATTAAGTACAAAACATTAATACAGAACTGTTTTCTTTTAAAGGAAAAAGACTAGCAGCTCGTTAGAAATAGGCATGCCAAAGACAGAGCTGAGTATGAGAGGATGGATATACTCCATGATACCATGCATAACTCTCCTGCTTTCCTACACATGAAGTAGAAAACGAGCAACAGTATTGCCCTTGTTCTACTTTTCTTCTGTTCTATTTGTAAGAAGAGAATCCACTGATCAATTAATGCATCTTCTCTTCATTCCTGGTTCCCTCTTCCTAATTCTTACACACTGCAGAAGGATGAAGCCAGGAGACTACAGACAGTAAAACTCAGTTTGGAAAAAGTAAAAAATAGAAGAAAGAGAAACAGAGGTGTAACAGCTTTCTCTTCCCTTTACATCCTATTTGCTTTCACGCAGGCTGAATAGTTACTTCCTTCAGTTGAAACTCACTTGCAGTCTCTGGAACCAAGGGAGCACCATTTTTATAGCTTTTCCAAGATAGACATAGTTCTGGGCTGTTCTGCTCATAGTTCAGAACCTGTACAACTAGATCACTGACGATCTTTTCCATGATCAAGCCTTATGTTTCTTATCCACAGCGTTAGCTATTGGTTTTACTTCAAAACGCACATGGTGTTTCAAGATGGAGGGTACTCAATGGTGAAAAATACGACTTCACTTCCCACTATGAATGCACAACTACAATCCTAATACTGGACTAGCATGTTTCCTGTAGAGAAACAATGCAAGGTACACTCACATCCTCGCTTGACCACAGACAGGCAGAAGTAAAGAGATTATTTTTTTCATTTTTCTGAAAATAGCCACTGAGTTGGTCAGACAGTTTAGCTCTTAGGACAAGAGGCGGAAATATATTCTCCAACCTATTATCACATCACAGAATTTAACTGAAAAGTCTATTTCCTTCTCACTCACATCAGACTACTTCAATGCTTTACCCAGCCTCATTTCTGAAGGCACCCAAAGACTGTCACTCCCTTGTTAATACAAATCCCACACACATTCCATACTCAAAACGCAAGTACCTCCACCACATGGGGAAGGATCGATCACACGCACACTAGAGCATACACTGCATACGTGAAACTAAATGTGAATTCAGCAAGAAATGGGAGAGACTACCTTTGAAGAACATCATTGATGTGCATTCCTACAATGTAAACAAGGCTGTGGGTGTCCAGCATCAGCAGCTCATTAAAAAAGTAGTCCGCCCTTTCTGAGCAGTTCCACTGCGGTGGACGGAAACAAGGTGTTGAAACAATTTGCCCAGCCTACAGTTTATGACATGGTAGCAAGCTGCAAGTTGGCCACAACTACTTTCAATACCTTAAAAAATAAGTAACCGACAATGAAAGCTACACAGGATGTTAGCCAGTCAGACCCGCAGTCACAAACCATCAGCTGCATAGCAATAATCAGATAGTCATCTTCAAGAACTTGTGAATATTGTATTCCAATAAATTCATTTCCAATTCAAATTTTTACAAGTTAAGGTAAAAAAAAAAATAATCTCTAAATAATTTGATTGTTTTACATACCAGGGTCATATGATGGCGGAGGTGGTGGAGGGAGTTTTCCACCGTCTTTAAGATTAAGTCCTTTGGCTGCTCGTATAGTTGCTATAAATTCCTCGTGCTTTCGTCTCCAATTGGAAGGTTTTTTGGGTGGTTCTGGCTAAGAAGCCAAAAAAAGAAGGAGCTTTATATGTTTGAAGCTCTTACTTCAAGCTAAGTACGTGCCTTATTTTAGTACACAATACTATAGTTAGATTTCTTCCAGATCCTAGTTGATCTAATTATCATGAATTGCCAGCAGAAATAAGCCTAATTATAATGCATACACAGTTTGCCTAAAATGTTCATATGCAGAATAAATTATAACATACCCGTGGCTTAAGAGGTTTTACTGTGGGAATGTCAGTTCCTTCTGCTCTCTGTCGGCTGGAATCGAATGTCTTCCGTTTCTTGGCAGAAGTTTTTTGGCAAATGGGTCCATGCTTTTTCTACAAGCAGAAGAAAAACAAAAAGAGAATATAGAACTTGGTTTCAAAAACATAAGTTATTAACATGTTACTTCCCTCTTTCTCAATATGCCAAGCAGCAAACAAGGCCCAACTCTTGCTGAATGAGATCAGATTGCTTTCACTCAAACATTTATGCTAGCTGTTACTTTTAGAACAGAACTACAGGAATTCACCAATGCATATATATGGTCACAAAAACTTGGGAGATGGCAAAGAAAAATAGGAGGCATCTGTATTTGCTCCTTTCAAATAAAAAATTGATGGTAGGCAGGCAGCATTTGCATTGAATAGCAAAATAAATCAGAAGTGTCTGAAATCCATATTCATATTTAAGGACAGACCAATTCCTATTATAAAGGCTGGAGAACACGGTATTTTGAGGATGGCTAACAAAACACTTCATTTACCAGCTGAGAATGCACAATGCTGGGGCTAACATCTGCAGAGGCAAGGAATGATTCTGTGACCCTAGAGAAGACACTTTTAGAAGCATGTATTTTCAGAAACTGATGAGATGCTAAAATAAAATTAACCTCCTTCTAAGGAGCTTCAAAACTGAGACAAATGAAATTGATAATTATTTGGGAAAAAATTCCACAAAAAAAGGTCAAAACCAAGCATCTAGATCTACTTTATTTAGCTATAGTGACCGTTGCTTAACTCTCGTATCAACTTACCAGACTTAAAAGCCAACAGTGCTCATACCACTTACCAGTGCTGCTGGAAAGAAAGTCCTTCCACAAATCCTACATGGCAACAGATCTCCAGTTTGCACTGCAACCTCACCTTGAAAAAAACATACTTCTATAAGAATATGTGTTTAAATTTGTGATAAAAATTTCTTCCTAGATTGCTCATATACTTAGAAATAATACCAGTTGTTACTGTAAAAGAGTACGTTCTTTGAACTGTGCAGACACTAGGCAGATCAGAAAGGAAAAGATGATACACAAGTCCTTGCATACTTTTGGAACCTGTCAGGCCCAGTAACAAGGCAGCATCGATTCTGAGAATTTACAATACAAAACTCTCCACCTTTAAAGGAACGCCTGTATGTCAATGCACAAATGACAGATTCCCTGTAAGTCACACTGACAGCCCAAACACACACCAAGAATAATGATATTTAGTGGGTTATTTCTGTGTCTTTAGAAGAGAATCACCAGTTACAGTATCCAATATAAGTCATATCCCATCATTTACCTTCCTCTACTAAGTTAAACTTTTCCACTTTCTCTTGTAATGAAAAAAAATCTTCAATGCTATTTTTACTACATATTTTATTCAGATTACTACTGACAGTTTACAAAAGCATTTCTGATGTTATTATTCAAGCACTGGTAACAAAAATGTAAATGGTGTACTTGACATACAATGGATTCACAAAACCTGATAAAAGACCAACAAATGGAAGTACTTAAGCCTATGTATGCAAATATATTCATACAGTACGCACTATGCAATGGAGTCACAGCAGAGATGAAAAATTCCACAGTGTTTCCCAGTAACAGGCATCTACTATATTTAGTACCGTACCAGAGATACAGGGATATTTTGTATCACATCTTCATCAATAAGGAGGCAGTAAACTTGGATTAAGTTTGAGACTTACAAGTTGCTTTCTCCATGCTCAGTCTGATTATTGCAGACAATACAGCTCCCTCTAATTATGCAAAGTTAAAACAAAATCACTTTGAATTTATTTGTATTTTAGCCACTAGTGACTTAAACTAACGAAGTTATGAACATAGCAACGTTCAGTGATTTGATCAGCTCTTGTTCCCAATTCCCCAGTGAAAAACAATGTTCTATCTAAACATACATACTTATTAATTAACTGTAGGACCAGTTCTAAAGAAAATGGGTAATTTAACAAAATGTTTCATGGCAAACAAACGTAGATTAAGGCAGCCATGGTTCCACCAAAAACCTTTTTTTTGAAATGAAAAGATTAAAATTGAGTGAGCATTCTAGTACCAATATGTAACTATTAGGTCTATTGCTGCCTTTTTCAATTACTTGAATGAAATTCATCATCAGTATTAACTATGTATAATGTACTAATTGTACTACTATACTATACAACACAACCCATTTTAAGAATCACAAATCATTTGAAAAATGTTCTGTAGTTTAAAACATTTATGTTCATATCTTTAATTAATTTATATACCTGTTCCATGTAGACATGAATAGGCCCTTGTCACAGCATAGCAGGACTGTACTGACAGTAAGCGAGTTTTACAACTGAAGTGATAATTGAGCTTCCTTTTGTGTCATCTAAATGAATGTGTTTAGATGTACACAAGTAGGGGGAAGTAGGAAAGATAGGAAACATGCAGACAAATCTTGGTTTTCTTCTATTCCTGCATCTGAATTATACTTGCATCTTATTAACGTTACTAGAAACGTAATTTTTATTGTATTTTTTTCAATTTCTATTTTAAACAATCATGTCTGAAAATTTTTGCATGGGACTGTCTTCTTAAATCCACAAGCCTGAGCACATCATCAATCACAAGTAATAATGTGCACACTGGTCATACATAGCGTAGATGGCTGGAACCTGCCCTCACCATTTTCCTCAAGAGTAAGCAGCAACCATTGCAGGCTTTTATCAATTCTCCCACTCAAAAATACAAGGTATGCACAGATTTATTTTGTTTGTTACTTCATTCTTCAGTGTTCTCAGCATTCCTAATAATGCTAACAGATATCACTGCAAACTGACTTCTGCTAAAGAGTTCAACTTCCCTTTATCACATTATTCTAATACAATCCTCAGCTTTCCAGAAACAAGAGAAGCATTTCATGGAAATACAAGTGACATTGTTTGTGCCTTTAAGAAATTATGTGAAATAACTCAGAATTAGTGATCTTGAAATCAGGTCTATAGTACAAGATTAAAGATTTTACTGAGAGAAGAATTCTTTCAAGTATCTGCCTTTGTAAAAGAAAAGCTACATTTCCCACCATTTTCTTCTGTCCACTGAACTCTGGAATTTGAGCTTGTGTTTAAATTCATGACTGAAAGAAGTTGACTTCACAGATGCTCACCTGATCACGCAGTATTTACATACGACATACCAACACATAATGAATGCTAATTAGCACTCACTGCAGCTACAGTTACAGAGCTGGATTTCCTTACAGCATTTCTACCCTCCTTTGCTGCTGGCAGGTACCCAAACACATTTGCCAAGAGCTATTTGTGCTGCCAACACCATCTCCCCCATAATACAAATCATTGATCCAAAACACAAAACAAAGTTATTTTAAAAAATTCCTTGAGTTTTGTTGAAAACGGGAAGCCTACAGTCCTTTAGATTTTCACACTTACATCTTCAATTTCTTAATCACTCCTCTATGATTTCCTCACCTTTAAAGGAAAAAAAACCAAACCCCAAACTAAACAATTCCCACCAATCCAAAAAACCCCACCATAAACAAAACAAAACCTTAACATTTTTCTCTAGGAGCCCATAAGCCTTCCCTTACAGAAGGGCTAGCAATGCCATCAACATGAAATCTGATAATTTAAAAATAAACCATGGGTATAAAACTGTGAAAGTTGGAAAAGAGTTGGGTTTGAGTTTGGTTGGGTTTTTCGGTGTTTTGGTTTTTTTTTTTCACTTGCTTTTAAAGGCATTCATGCATTATATCTAATGCAGTCAGTCATGGACTGACTGAATTTTTTTCCTGAACGAAAGTTAATAGAAGTGGTTATTAAATTGGGATGTACTGGGGGGAGTAGGTTAAAAAAAAGGAAGACCCAAATCAGTAAACAAGAAGGATTTGCTTGGCAAATGAGTCTAAGAATAGAGATTGGTAGGAAGATGGTTTCATAGCAAGTTTCTTCAGTCTTCTTTAAGTCTAGCAAAAACACAGGGATTACCCTCATTTTGGTTACACAACCACAGAAGACGCAAGATTCAGCAACTACACTTCCTTTTCCTTTTACCATCTTTAATACCACTAATCACCAGTAACTTACATGCTTGTATTAAACATGAATTAATATAGTTAAAATGGAAAAGGACAGACACATAATTATTACTATTTATCTAATCTAAACACTGTCCTGGATTCGGTTGGGAGAGAGTTAATTTTCTTCTTAGTAGCTAGAATAGCATTGCGTTTTGGACTTAGCATGGGATTTGGTAAGAGAATAATGTTGACAATACGCTGATGTTTTTAGTTGCTGCTAAGAAATCAAGGACTTTGCAACTTCCTATGTTTTGCCAGTGTGCAGGTACACAAGAAGCTGTGAGGGAGCACAGCTGGAGCAACAGATGCACAATTCCTGGCTCAGGCCCAAATTGGCCAATGGGATATTCCATATCATGCAACGTCATCCTCTCCCTCTCTTCTCTCCCAGGATTGCGATTTCAGGATTTCTCTCCTTCAGGATTGCTAGCCAGGGACAGGCTGCATGTTGGTCAGCAGGTGGTGAGCAATTGCAGTGTGCATTACTTGTTTGTGTATTCTATTATTATTTTATTCTTATTATTATTTTTCACTTTATTTCAATTATTAAATTGTTCTTATCCGAACTCATGAGCCTCCCTCCCTTTTCTCCTTTGATTCTCTCCCCCATTCCCCAGGGACACAGGAAAGGTTAGCGAGTGGCTGCATGGTGTTTGGTTGCCATCTGGGGTTAAACCACCACAAATACGCTTAGGGAAAAGAGAAATATGTTTAAAATGGTTATGTGAATACCAAAGGAAGAAGCGGTATTTCAGCTGAAGTGATGTCAAAACTATGATATACAGCTTTATAACCTATTCTACTGTCTGCCTGAGACCAGGTCTCAAAAACATAGAGTTCAATCTAGTAAGACGCTGGATATCTGAATTAAAACATTACATCGGAATTTTTATTAGTAGCACTGCTATAATCTCATCGCTTGCATTTGTAAACTCTCCCTGTCAGAGCTCCTTGTCCAGCTACTTCCAGAGTACAAGCACCTTTCAAATTATTTTTTTCTACCTACACATAAGTTATTGAACACATTCCTTTTGAATATGGTCATAGTCCAGTTATCTGTACTTTCTGTTCTTTAAGTTGGAGTTTAGCTGTAAAGTCTGGGCAGACCTCAAAGTCCGAGAGCATAGCTATACAGTCAGTCTCCCAGATGTAGCACAGTCCTTTCAATACTTTTACAGACAAGTTTAGACTTCCTTGAAACCTAGATTTCCAGGGAACAACTTTTTTTTTTCCTTTCTCCCCTCTCATGTTCAAATACAGCAAGTCATTTACAGTGGTAAGTGTAATCCAGTTCTTGGATTTATCTTCGTCGGTACAACGTGTGGATCCATCAATACATACCAGTTCGATCTGACATGGTCATAGGTGTAACACTTGCTCTTGCTGTCATGTTTACAAATTAAGTAGTTGTGTAAATAGACTCCCCACCTAGAGGGAGCAGAAGTCTCCAGTGTTGCTGAACAGCTATTAATTTAAGTCTTATTGCAGTTTTCCCTTTTAGAGAGCTTTGTGTACCCAAGCATGTGTCTCCACTTAAAGTACGCAATGCTTCAAAGAAACAATATTGCACTCAGTCTGGGCAACAGTACTTTGTCATGTTGTAAAATCTGACTGACTGCCCTTCAGAAGCTTTTATCCGTCTGCAGCGGTGACAGGACTAAATGACTTGGGTCAGACAACCGCGATAATCAGAACCATTGAGCCTCACTGAATTCAAACTTGCAGAAACACTCTGGTATGATTTCCAGCCTTGAAACTAGGTACCCATTTGAAACCAGCAAGTCATCTACAACTGTGGAAAGTTATTACTTGAAGAGTGCTTGCCAAATTCTTCTGCAAAATTGTATTTATTGCTTTTAGCATAAGTCCCCTCTCATCACCAAAGGCAAGGTCCTTTCCACTTAAGAGTTCCACATACTTCACGTATGAAAAAATACAGTGCATTCCCCACATTAACTGGAACCTATATCATCAAGCCACAACATCTAGTTCTTTGGGGACTGTCGGTCTCCAACATATGTCCACTAATCAGTACTGATCAGGCTATATTTTTTTAATCGACACATTAACTAACAACAGTCTGAAATGACTAATGACAAATACCATAAACAAGAGTCACCTAAAAATGATACCGATACAATGACATAGGTAGGGAACACTTCTTTGAACAGACAAATACAATTCAGAGCACTAATTTGTAAAGAACAATTTTGAAGAGCATTAAATAATGAAAAGATGAATGTATCAAAGTAAAAAAAAAGTATACCAATATGACTGAAAAAACAGGGTGCAAGTTTCGCAAGTTTTTTTTATTTTGTCAAAATCAATTCTGAAAAGCAAATGAAAGTCAGACAAAGAGACCACACTCTTAACAACAGGCAGTACTTGCCATACTTTCCTAAAGTTTGCTTGGTAACTCACGACGTGCATGATTAGAGAAAGTAAGAGGAAATCATCGTAAGCTCTTTCTCTTAGTATTCATATACTTTGAATTTTTTATTCAATTAGGTTATTTGCAATTGTATAAGAAATAGCAAAAAAATCTACTTTTATCTATCTACCCCTAACTTTAGAGGAAAGTCTCAGGAATTCTTTTCTACTTCTGTAATGACAATGCAGTCTAATCTTGTACAAACCTGTCACTTGTGCTTCCAAAAGATAACAAAAAGCAGCATAACTTCCATTCCTTCAAGCTGAAAAGCTTGAATAAGACTTTCATAGTACCTCTGCATGTTTTTATATCAGCTCTTCAGCCCGACAATGCAAGTGCACTATATTTGTCAAAATTACTGTTATTGCATTGAACATGAGTCTGGTGATGGTAAGTTTGGTATTACCTACTTGAAAATAACATATCAAGGAGAGTCACACTGCCTCAAAGTGACAAACTGGAGGAGGATTCTGTGAAGAAGTTTTTTTTGTGACTGAGAAATTAATTGCATGCAGTCAAGAATGGTTGTAATAGCTGCACACGCACAACTCGCATTGTTGCATACTCCCCTTTTCTATAACTGTCCTTCTTTCCTCCCTTCCTCATATGAAGTCTAACTTTTAATGTGAAAACATGCCGAAGTCATGCTACACATCGTTAAAAATAACCAGCTCTCCTAGACTTCTCTCTAGGGCGACATCTGATGGGATTCTTCCAAGCAGATCCCTAAAGAAGCCAAAGTCCGCTCTCCTGAAGATCAGGCTTGAGATCCTACTATCTGCCCAGCTCCCTCCTCTCAGAATCCCGATTCCTATCATCTCATGGTCACTGCAGGTGAAGCTGCCCCTGACCTTCACATCTCACATGTTTGTAGGCATGAAGTCCAGCAGAATTGCCTCCCCTTGTCAGCTCCTTGATCACCTGGCTAAGGACTTTGTCATTAATGCATGCTAGAAGCCTCCTAGATTTCTTGTGCCTTGCTGATTTGTTCCTCCAGCAGGTATCAGGGTGGTTAAAATCCCTCATGAGGACCAGAGCCTGTGAATACAAGGCTCCTTCCAATTATCTGAAGGAGGTCTAACCTTCTTCCTGATCAGGTGGTTTGTAGCAGACACCCACAGCAACATTTCCCACATTGGTCTGTCTGCTAACCCTGAACCATAAGCTTCCAGGTGGCTCCATCGCAAAGCTCCATGCATTCCCACTGCTCTCCCACATAAAGGGCAACTTCCCCCTTTGCCGTCCAGCTGGTTCTTCCTGAAGAGCCTGTGTTAATCCACCACAACACTGTAGTCCTGAGCTGTCCTACCACCTACGCATGATCCCAACAAGCTCCTAGCCCTGCAATTCCATGCAGACCTCCAATCCTCCCATTTGTTCCCATACTGTGAGTGTTAACGCGCAGGCACTTCAGAGAGGCATTCAGTTGTGATGATTATCCAGAAAAATCTACGAGAGCTTCCCCTGCAATACATATAGAAACAACAAAACCAAAGGCAAGTAAGCAGCACCATTTGATCGATTTGACTTCCCGATATGTTATCTGGTCTTCTATTAACAAGCTTTAAGATCAACTAAAGCCACTAGAAAGCATGTGACCTGCAAAATCTATGTACACGTTACACAATTCCGTTCTGGCATCGTAAACTCATTATTCTCCTGTATTAGGCTACAAGCACCACAGTGACAGTAAGCAGGCAGTCAAGCACAGACTAGCCTTCTCACGCTAGCTTTAAACCAAGACTGCTTTGCACTAGTAACCCCCAAGCAATTTGTGGACTTACATACTCAACTGCCCAAATGTAATCCGATAGAGAAATGTCAATTTAAGCTTGCCTGCTTAGCAAGATATTACTTGGCTAACAATAAAATAATGTGTTAAAAACAATTTTGATAATAAACTTCATTTGTAATACATTGATTCCTGCTTTGCTCGGAGTTTATTTGAAAAGTAAGCCCACTCCTCATCCCTAGTCAACTGTTTAACATACTACTGGAACCAGATTTTACTGAATGCAACAACTGCTTCTGATAATAACCACATCAAGTGTGTGTGCAGGTAAAACACATTCATCTTCCTACTGTATTCAACCAATTGAACTCAATTACTACATCAGTCCAGTTTCTGCAATTCAAGTTAAAAACGCAAGAATTCTACAAAAGCTACAGAAAAGGGGGCAAAGTCTGTTAGTCTTAAAATGCTGAAGAAACTGACACACTCAAATTCCCGTCTACACATATTACTTCCTTTCCTTTAAAGGTGAAACATACTCTGATAGTGCACTTCCCGTATTGTATCAGCTTAAGCTTAGTTTTCATAATTTTTCCTTAGGTAAAACATTTAATTTCAATTTCTTCCCTAAAACACAAACATTAATCAAAAATAAAAACATAATTGCCTTGGAAAAAGTAAATATGTTGACTACAATTATCCAGTGTATTAAATGTCAAAATTAGACCACCTAACAGAGGTGCAAGTGTGCCTAGGGAAACACAGCAGTTCAATGCAAAGTCCTATTTATCATTGTGTTTCAATGGCTACCAGAGAAACAACTTCTTAAAAAGAATATATATTAATATTAGTTTTACATTTCAATATTTGTTTCCAACTGGTTGATTTAAGAACAGTACCATAAAATTAATTCTTCCTTCTGTTGGACAGATAAAGATACTGGGGGTGGGGGTGGAAACAGAAAGCTGAAGCATTCCAAAAAGGCAGGAGCTCCCTCAAATGGAGCTTAAGAAAATGGCTGCCAAAGTAAGGAAGCTACTACGTGCATCCAGTGAGGCAAGACAAAGATGAACACAAAAGGTAAAGAAAGACTCACATTAATATTATTTTTTGTTTTCTAAACAGAATTAATTC